GTGGGAGATGTTGGATATTGAGTTTGGTCGCGGGTTGCCCATATGGACTGACCCTACACATTTAGAGGAGATAAAACCTTAAAGAGGTTACCTAGGGAAGTTAAAATACAGATAAATAAAAGAAAAAAAAATGTTGCACGTTAGAAAAATAATGGGAACGTGCGATTGTGTGAGCGGCAGTTTTTTTCTTGAAACCTCTTTCTCTCCTATATATATCTTTCTTCCTCGACAGAGAAAAAGGCGATGAAGTGATTCTCTCTAAAGTAAACACATTGTGATAAACAAAAACAAGAATATTTAGTTCGTGAACAAGAATTTCGTTTCCAAGAGAGATGAAGTCAGATTCGAGCAATTGATTGGAATAGATTCTGCAAAAACTTCCGCTAATTTGTTAACACGTACACAAATTCGATGTCCTTGTTACTAGATTTTAATCAATCATTTATGTTTTGCCATCTCTAGCTACTTAACCAACCCAACCACCCTTTGTTGCAATGAATGGGAAAAACTAAAGATGATATTATATGCACTGCCAATTTATGGTGTTTAGTTCATATATATATGTATTATGTATTGTTTGAGTCCAATATATAATGTGCACTTTTAAGGAGTAAATAAGCTATACAATTAAGTGAGTGTTAAAGATAAAAGTTAAGTACTCTTCACCTAAATTAGAGATTTATTGTTAAAATAAGGAACATTACAATACGGGATGTTTACCTCCTTTAATTGGTTTATCCTGGGCAAATCCAAATTAATGGATCAATAAGCTTTGAATATCGGATGTCGAACCAAAAATAACAAAACATATCTACTTTGCGTTGTTAGAATCAAGGATTGAGGGAAAAAATCGAAAATACCCAGTTAGGGTTCTAAGACATGAAGAGAGAGGAAAATCTGTATTTTCATTATTCCAAACTTCACAAAAAATGAAATCTATCTTCCGTATCCTTCTTTAGTTTCAGATTGGGCCTCTTTTATATGACCCGGAGGCCCAAATACAATAAATACTAGTTGAGGCCCAATTACTAAATGCATTTTGGACCACTAATACACATACTAACTATCTTCTAAACTATTATCTAGACTATGAATCCCAACACCCCCCTCAAGTTGGAGGGTGGTACAACACCAACTTGCCAAGATGAAGGTGATGAACATTGCCAGGCAGAGATTTGGTGAAGATATCAGCCACTTGAGATGCACTGGAGGTATGAATCAAAGTGATCAACCCATCAGTGAGCTTGCTCCGGACAAAGTGACAATCCAACTCAATATGCTTGGTCCGCTCATGGAAGACTAGATTCTTTGCAATGTGTAAGGCAGCCTGGTTATCACAGAAAACAGGGATGGAAGAATAGGCAGGAAGGCCAAAATCAGTCAATAATCTGGACAACCATGTAACCTCAGCAACAGCTTTGCTCAATGAACGATATTCAGCTTCAGCTGAAGAAAGAGATACCACAGGCTGTTTCTTAGACTTCCAGCACACTAAACTACCACCCAACAATATGCAAAAACCTGTAACTGATCTTCTATTGTCAGGGCAAGAGCCCCAATCACTGTCACAGAACACCTGAAGAGAAAGATCTGAAGAATTGTTGTAGAAAATGCCATGATCTGAAGTACCATTAATTTATCTCAATAGGTAAGGGCAGCCTTCATATGAGAAGTACAAGGATGCTGCATAAATTGGCTTAAATGCTGAACAGCAAAAGACAAATCAGGCCTAGTGTGTGTTAAGAAATTGAGCTTCCCAACAAGACTTCTATAAACTTCAGGATTAGGCAAAGAATCCCCTGTTTTAGCTTTAAGTTTCTCATGTAACTCAAGGGGAGATATAACAGGGGAACAGGCATCACAATGGAACTCCTTTAAAAGATCATGAATAAACTTCCTTTGATGCAATAGAACCCCAGAAGGAGAGTACAACACCTCAATACCAAGGAAGTAGTTAAGAAGACCCAAATCTTTGATTTTGAACTAATCATGAAGAAAAGCTTTTTAAGGTAGAAACTTCTTCTAAATCAGTCCCAGTAAGAACAATATCATCTACATACACAACCAAGATCACAAGAGAGTCCCCAGAACCTTTTGTAAACAAGGAATAATCATTGAGAGTATGAGTATACCCTCTTGACTGCAAGGCTTGTGATAGCTTAGCATACCACTGCCTGGAGGCCTATCTCAGCCCATATAAAGACTTTTTCAGCTTACACACAAGAGGGGCAGAAGAGGATGAAGAAGGAACAGACATGCCAGGAGGAAGTTTCATATAAACTTCCTCATCCAAATCACCATGTAAGAAAGCATTATTGACATCAAGTTGAAAAAGGGGCCAATGTTTCTTAACTGCTACAACAATAAGAGTTTTAATGGTGGACATCTTTACAACAGGAGAAAAAGTTTCATGGAAATCAATCCCTTCAACTTGGGTATCACCCCTAACCACTAACCTTGCTTTATATCTTTCAACTGAACCATTTGCTTTGTATTTAACCTTATAAACCCATTTACATCCAATTGGTTTCTTCCCAACTGGTAACTCAACTATATCCCAAGTTTTATTAGTCTCCAAAGCTTCAAATTCCTGTCTCATAGCAGCCTGCCATTCAGGAATAGCTGCTGCCTGGGAATAGGTAGAAGGCTCAGAAACATGTTGCTTAACAGAGGAGGATTCAGAAGTAGAGCCAACAGACTGACACACATAGCTTTTCAGATACTCAGGTTGTTTGTGAACTCTAGAGGATCTCCTGAGAGCAGGAGCAGAAGAGGAGTTGGAAGGCACAAGGGAAGGAGAAAGAGATGCAGAATTCTGTGAAAGTGGAGGAAGAGAGTCAGATGAGGGAGCAGAAGGAGAAGGTGCAGAACTAGTAGGAAAAGGATTGGAAGAACTGGAAATAGGAGAGATAGGAGCAGGATGACTTGTACTGGGAAAGGAATCATCAAAGCATGCAGAAAAAGGAAAGGGACATAGGCTGGAGGAACTTGTGGGAGATTTAAGAAATGGAAAGATATGTTCATGAAAAACAACATCTCTAGACACAAAGCAGGAGTGAGTCTCCAGATTATATAACTTGTATCCTTTCTTAGCAAAGGGATAGCCCACAAACACACAAGGTACAGCTCTAGGTTCAAATTTGTCTCTAAAATGCTTGGGAACAGTAGAATAGCAAAGACAACCAAAGGCTCTAAGATGAGCATAAACAGGCAATTTGCCATAAAGTAATTCATAGGGGCTTTTGTGATTTAGCAAAGGAGATGGAAATCTATTTAGCAAATAGGTAGCAGTGAGAATACAATCTCCCCAGAATTTAAGAGGAAGGTGAGATTGAAACAGTAGAGCCCTGGCAGTCTCAAGTAGATGTCTATGTTTCCTTTCCACTACCCCATTCTGTTGAGGGGTATGAGGGCAGGAAGTCTGATGTACAATACCTTTTTCAGCAAAAAATTGACATCCAGACAAGCTGGAGCCTAACTCTAGGGCATTGTCACTTCTAATAGTTTGGACTTTAGTGTGGAATTGAGTTTCAACCATAGCAATAAAGGCCTTTAGAATGTCAAAAGCATTGCTCTTGGCTCCCAAAAGGTGAGTCCAAGTAGCTCTAGTATGATCATCAACAATAGTTAAAAAATATTTGGAACCAGAGTATGTAGTGGTGTGATAAGGTCCCCAGGTATCAATGTGGAGTAATTGGAAAGGTGTGGTTGACTGTATAGAACTATCAGGAAAGGGTAATCTGGTTTGTTTAGCCAAGGGACAAATGGGGCAAACAAAAGATTGCTTAGATGATAGTGTGGTTCCAAGATCAGGTACATGCTTCATTTTAGAGAAAGGTAGATGCCCTAGTCTATAGTGCCAAACAACATCAATTTTATTCACTTTATTCAAATGTACATCATCAGACATTTCAGCAGAAGTAACAGACAAACTTGTATTACTACCAGGAACACTAGAACAAGCATTAGAAAGAACAACACTTGGAGGATTGCAAGGAGAAACAGAAGGTAAAATTGAATCAGAAAACATAGAGTTTGAGACCATTGGCAGTTGAATCAGCTTGTACAATCCACTGTCAGGTCTACCAAGTACCACTGGCTTCTTCAGAGAAGGGCCCTGAAAAGTACAACCAGTGTTGGTAAACTGAACCATGTGACGAGGTTTAGCAACAAGCTGGTATACAGAAATAAGATTGTATTTAAAACTAGGAATATAAAGCACATTGTGAAGAATTAGATCAGGAAACAAGGCTAAAGAACCCACATTGTGAACTTTAACTTTGTAACCATTTGGAAGAGACACTAGGTAAGGAACAGATAATGTTTGTATGTTGAAAAGAAGGGATTTATCAGATGTCATGTGATCTGAGGCTCCAGAATCTATGATCCAAATAACATTGTCTATTTTAGTAAGTAAACAAGTTCTGACTGAACCATTCTCAGGCATAAGCATACCAGCAAAATTGGCAGATGCCATGAGTGTAGGAGGAGAAGATGGAGTGGAAATGTGAGACTGCTGCAGCAACATCATAAGCTGAGAGTACTGATCTTTAGTTAATCCAGGGACTGCAGAAGCTTGGGCAGACTCAGATTCAACAGGTGCAGCAACATCACCAGAATGATCAACCTCAACATGTGCAGCAGATTTCCTAGGGCCAGGTCCCTTAGTGAACTTGAAATTTGGAGGAAACCCATGCAATTTGTAGCACTTTTCAATAGTATGCCCTGGTTTCTTGCAATACTTGCAGATCAGGGATGGCCTTTGAGACTCTGAGCTAAACCTTGAATAAGAATTTTGTGGTCTGGGAGAGTCAAAATTGATCTTGGATAGGAAGGTCTGTTTGGAGACCCCAACATTGAAGGAGGCAGAATTGTTATTGAATTGAGATGCAGAGGACACCTGTCTCTGTTTCTCATCAGCCAGAAGAATGTTGTACACAGTATTCATTGAGGGCAAGGGCTTCATCATGATTATGTTACTCCTTACTTGGAGATAAGTATCATTGAGTCCCATTAAGAATTGATAAGACTTTCTGTTCTTCTTCAGCTTTCTTATTACCCCCACATGTGCAAACAGACAAATGATTGACAGAAATAGAAGATATCTCATCCCAGAGTTGTTTTATGGTATTAAAATAGGATGCTATGTCTAGTGAGCCTTGAGATATGTGTGATAATTCTTTCTTAAGTTCAAACAATCTAGCTCCATCAGCCTTTCCATATCTCTCATCAAGTTCATTCCAAATGTCTTTGGCTAACTCAGAGTACTCAACACTACGAGATATTTCTTTGGTAAGGGAGTTTGTTAACCAAGAAATGACCAAATCATTGCATCTCTGCCATTGCCTTGCTAATGGAGACTCAGCAGTTGGCTTCACAAATGAGCCATTGATGAAATCCAACTTATTACAAACAGACAAGGCTACTAGGATAGTCCTACGCCAGCTAGAATAACCAGACCCATCAAAAGGAGTAAAAACTAGAGAAGCGCCTAAAATGTCAGAGGGATGAATATAAAGTGGGTGACATGGATGAGTGTAATCATCCGGATGAAAAGCAGTACGGGATGAAGTCCCTACAGCATCGATTGAAGTATCAGAATTATTTGTCATACTGACAATCGATCACAACAGCAAATTAAAACAGACTACTAACAATAGTGAAATTTAGGGTTTGAGGATTTCTAAAAAAAACAGTCAAAATTGCACATGCAGAACAAGGAACAGCAGCAATGAGCTAACATATAACTAGGGAGATGAAACGATGTTACCGAGAGCACCGTTCGCTACCGGAAGGGGACGGCCTTGAGAGAAAATGAAGAAAAAGACGGAAAAATTTGGAGGAGATAAGCTGAAACAGGATCGACTCAGTCCGAATCAATAAATTACGGCGTCAAATTGAAAAGAAAACTCCTTTTCACCAACAATCTCCTCTTCGCAAAAAAAACCTAGATTTCGATCTCCGGCGATCACAAAATCGGATCGAAATTTTGCAGAGAAACATCACCAATATCATTACTCATCGACGGAGAAACAGATCTCAAGCACTATGGCTCTGATACCATGTTAGAATCAAGGATTGAGGGAAAAAATCGAAAATACCCAGTTAGGGTTCTAAGACATGAAGAGAGAGGAAAATCTGTATTTTCATTATTCCAAACTTTACAAAAAATAAAATCTTTCTTCGTTATCCTTCTTTAGTTTCAGATTCAGCCTCTTTTATATGACCTGGAGGCCCAAATACAATAAATACTAGTTGAGGTCCAATTACTAAATGCATTTTGGACCACTAATACACATACTAACTATCTTCTAAACTATTATCTAGACTATGAATCCCAACATGCGTTGTGTCACCCATAGTGCGCAGAAAATTAAATTCGTTTTAAATTGGTTTGCTTACCCATAATTGGAAGTTGGTAATTGTGTTGAGACTCCAATACCAGTAAAATATCCAATTATATCAATTGAGAATATATCTATAATATTTTTTATAACTGTGATGTATAATTTCATGGGATACTCGCCGCCTTCCACTAGTAACATGTACGAGGTAACTCTGTTCGCTAAGGCTTAGACAGATGAGAAGAAATCATTTAGTATTTCTGCCTTCGCTGAAATTTAAACCTGAAACCTCATATTTCTCATCCACTTTGCTGATCACTATGCCACTCCCTTTGACGTTATATCTAATAAAATATTGAAGGTGCATATAAGCTAATTCAAAAAATGCTCTAATAATTGTTAGTAGTTCGAAATTGATATATGTGTACCTTCAATGTGCACATAATCAGATGTGAGGGGCAAGAGAATCCGAAAAGAAGCAACAAATCACGAGAGATATAGCTAGATTTTGGGCCTAGGGTTCTTGTGCATAGGTTTGTAGGGTTAATGAATAGAGCTATCAATATGGGCGGGGTCGGGCTACCCAGCCCAACCCACATGAGCTTTAGCAATTGACGGGTTGGGCTGGGCTAGCCCACCATTTTGATGGGCCTTATAATGGTCAGTCCACCCCAGCCCTATATGGGCTGCGGGCCCCCACGGGCCGGCCCATTATTTTTTAAGATAAAATCTTATATTTTTTCTTTATGTTCTAACCTAAAAAAGATAAATATTTAAAAGTTAAAAAAAATCTTATTGGAAAAATTTCACAAGACTTAATAACTTTTATATTATTCCAATATATCACAATAAATAGTAAAAAAATAAAGACAAGACTGTATTTTATTCACTAAAAGTCAAACTCAAATAAAAGTACTCAAGAGAACGTCTATACGCTTATGGGATATCCAACACATCATCTTCATCAAACACATTTGAATCCGCTTGTGAGAAGGTTGTCTTAATATCTTCACTTTCATCTACATCTACAATTCGTATGCAATATTAATTAGTTAAATATTATGAATAATTAAATTTTTAAAACTAATTAACGTTTTAAGACTTTGATCTTTTAATATGATGAGCTTAATAAACTTTAAGCTTTGGATACTCTTCTTACTATTTTTTGTCATGTACTTTTTACATTATATATATATATTTTAAATACGTATTTTTATTAGGCCCGCGGGTCGATCCAGCCCAGCCTCAGTCAAGCCTTACGGGCCACGGGCTTACTCGGAGCGAACTTAAAAGCCTCATTTTAATGGGCTCCAAAAATTCTAGCACAACCCTGCTAAATCACGGGCTGGGCTGGGCCAGCCCAACGGACCAAGCCCATATTGACGCTCCACTTGCCATCGGACTTGATATTCTTTCATATTACTCCATTTTTATTATAATATGACTAACAAACTTGAAGTATAGATAGCATCACATTATCTCTATTCTCCTCTTTATACATTAATTTTTGTTCTATAATATTTAATTTTAATTCATTTAGTATTTATCTATAACACGAATAATATCTATTATTTTTTTAAATTGGTAGTACTGAATTAGTTCAAAGTTTAAATAGAAAAGTTCTTTTTATTATATGTCATAAATCTACTAATAATTGTAATAATTATCATTTTAGAATTACTTCCAATAAGAATTTAAATTAAATTTTCCTTCCCTTTCGTATTTATTATTGAAGTTCTTCAATTTTTATTGAAATTAACTACATTATAATTTAAACTAAAAATATGTTTTACTGCACATATTTGAGATAATTATGTCGCATAGATAGGTTGTAACAACCCGATCGCTTCATAAGCGGTGTCACTATTTCTAGTAAGAGGCCCGTAACAGTCAAAAAATATTTTGTGGAGCCAAGGGAGTTCGAACCCAAGACCTCTCACAACAAACATGAAGCTGTCAATCACTAGACTACTGAGCTGTTTTGTTGCAACTGGTGTCACTTTTAATGGTTTTATCTTGTATTTTTGTTTTACTTATTATTTTTACATATATAAATAGTAAAAAAAATCGACGAAGCGGTGTCCCGTGACACCCCGTGGGTCCATGTAAATCCTCCCCTGCATACATAGCCACAAGCGGCCAATAGTTATATATTTCCCAAAACCGGTAGTACGGAGTCATAAGTACTACTAAAACACACTAGAATTTCTAAACAAAATATCGTTTTGAATTACAATTTAACAGTAGCATAATGATGTAAGATGGTGACTCCGAGGCCTGCAAATGTCAAGTAGGTATACCTTGAAGTCTCCCGCCGTGCAGATGCAACTCTCAACAACACAATCAGAATACCTGGATTTGCACAAAAATATGCAGAATCATAGCATGAGTACACCACAACGGTACACAGTAAGTATCAAGCCTCGTCCAGGTCAAGACACCTACTAGACATAGAAACATGTTCAAGATATACATAAGCTAACAATGGAAAGAATATCAATGTAAGACCAACGGCGGAAAAATTATTGATTTACAACCAACAATGAAGTAATAGAAACATAAATGGCAGCAAGTAGTAAACGAGTAATAAAGAAACAGCATAATCAGAACACCGATGAGATGTAAATGAACTCAAATAAGGAAAAATGAATGACATCTCAAATAATCAAATCGCTCCAACGCATGGACTTACAACAAGAATTACCCTGAGGCACCACACCTCATAAACTATAAATCATGGACCACAATTTCTAAAATCTTACACATATGGCCGCGTGCCCACAATAACAATCACCTCCGCACGGCATAGCCCACGTGCTACCATATACTCTACAACCGTGATAAATATTAATTTAGATGAACGACAGATATATTTAAACACCATAAAACATAATAACAATCTTGAATAAAGTAAGGTGTCAAATGAAATAATAAGTTTATTTCAGAAATAAAGTAAAGTAAAATAATATACAATTTGTACGAAACAGAGCATAAGATGGATTTAGTTTAGAAATCAATAAAGTTGAGTAAAAGTATCATTTTTAAACAAACCAAAACATAAGTTAAATTAACGAATTAAATATTACATTTGTTAAGGAAAAATATGATAACAATTTTAAGTAAGGGAAACATCTAACAGGGTGATGTGTATAATTTGAGAACCCAATTATAATGAAAGTGCGATAGTCATTTAGAATAATAAGGCACCGAGTAAGATAACGAGTTCTATCTTAAGAGGCACATAGAATAAAGCATGTTAATAATTATTTTATTTAAACCATTATGTTACCAACAACTCAACAGAATATGATATAGTGACTCCATGCAATTAAATTCACATTGACAATCAATTCACCAAATTATAACGGAGACACAGATTGACATGTTAAAGCAACATAATAAATCACGTAAAATGCATGACTCACACAAGAAACAACAATCGTTACAATACCAAGATACAACGAATAACCAAGCACAATCAAAATGCGGATGAATGGTTGAAGAAGAACAATGACCGTTCAACTCAAAAAGTTGTTCCAACATGGAATGTACAATAAAAATCTTAACCGAGGTACCCCCTCATATTCACATTTCACAATTTCAATCAAAATCTTTTCTTATATCACCGCATGAGCCTTACATTTAGTTTTGAAAATTATTTTTCTCGAACGCGTTTTAGCCCACCTTATCTCACCGCATGGCTTCAAGTAGTTCCCCTACTAGCAACACGCGTATCAAGCCCACCTTATCTCACCGCATGCATATCAACCCCTAGCCTTATACCACCGCATGTGCATCAATGTCAAAATACAATCACAACTCGCACCACAACGTTCCATATGCCACAAAGTCAACAACACCAATATTTCTACAATAAATAGCCCATGGCTCAACCACAATGTGTACAAAAATTTAAACAATAACAAAATGAATGAGAATGCTCAAGAAGGAAAGGTATCTCAACAATTAACAACTTCGCCTATAATGGCTATTACAACTTCAATACCAATAACTTAACAAGATAATATTCCATGAAATAACGACTTCAATTTAAAGTGATTCAACAATTAAGAGGTAACAAGACAATAAGGAACGCAACAACTTCAACTAAAGCATATAAGAGCAAAATAACAAGTAAGAGGTAGAACAAGTGCTAACAACGTCAAATAGAGCATGTAAGAGTAGATTAACAATGAGAGATATAACATGTCATGACAATTCAATTAAAGTCATGGAAAGAGTTTATATAATCTAAATCGGTCAAATCCACATATAGCCCGTGTACCCACTCGTCACCTTGCCTACACGGCTTTCACATAACATAAATAGCACAATCAACCTAAATCCTAAGAGGTGGTGTCTCCCACATAAAGTTAGGCAAGATACTTACCTCAAACAAGCCCAATCGATACACTAGAAGTTCCATCCCGCTCAAATCATCCTCCGAACGGCTCAAAATAAAGGTCGAATCTTTACACATTTACCCAAAGTCAACCAAAAAGTCAAACCCGGGCCCGCACCCCAGAACCTGACAAAACTCACAAAATCCGACAACACATTCAATTACGAGTCCAACCATACTAATTTCACTCAATTCCGACTTCGAATCAGTGATCAAAACTCAAAAATTCACTTTGGGAATGTTTAGATAAAACCCCCCAAGTTCTTTTAAAATCATCAATCAAATGCTAAAAATGAAGATAGAATCACGGAATATAATCAAAACCGAGTAGAAAATACTTACCCCATAGAAGAAACTTGAAGAACATCCTTGAATTCTCCAAATACCAAACTTTCAAGATGAGAAAAACTCCAACAACATTAATAACTAAAACGTGACGAGCGCAAAACACCACTTAGATTATGCTCGCTAATCAAATATAGTATAGTATAATATCGTATCCACAGGGGTTAGGGTTAAACAGTATTCTCGTAGTTTCTAGCTTGGTTGCTATCCATGAGAATCAACAATTGAGATTTTATGTGATTAATACTAAAATTAACTAAGAATATAAAGCTAATGACTAATGACAATCGAAACAATGATTAAGCACATAAAGATATCAATGGGAGGAAATAGGGTTTTGATAGGACAGGTGCAAGATAATTGTCTGGAATTTAACTCAAGATAATTCACTTCTAATGTCAAGTAAGTCTCTCTAATTCATTCGATTATTAGTTTAATTGTTTAGTAGAAACTCCTCTCTCGATCAAGTCTCAACCTCACGAGATGAACCAATTTAAGCTTTGTGAAGATATGCAAGAATGCTTAGTGGATTGGTCTTTAGGAGAACCTCTCTCGATTATCCTCCTAACTAGGTTTAATCAATGATTCTACTAGCCTCTTTCGATTACTAAGCATAATTAATGAACTCAACCAACAATATAATGTAAAGATATCACAAGTTACGCCTCTCTCGATTACATGAACAAGTGAATATAGATGCAACAATAAATTCATCCAAAAATGCTTCAATACATAAAACTAGAGTTATGATCCGCAAAAAAATCATCAATACACCAAATCCATCAAACCCAAAAGAGAACTACTCCATTGACATGGAGTAATTCATCACAAATATAATAAAAGTATAGGAAAACATAAATTCAATTCAAACTCGGGTCTTGAGTGAGGAAGGAATGATGAAATCCTTGTTCTCGTGTCGTTCCAACACCTCCTTAACCTCCTTAGGTCGAATATGTGTCAAAGTACAGAAAATAACGTTTTCCCATGTATTTATACTAAGTAGGGTCGGCTTCAGACGAAACCACCTTCTCCTAGCCGAAATAGGACATTGGCTCTCTAAAATTTGCACAAGTCCGCTGCATGGGGAGACGCGCCACACATGGTGTTAGTGGGGATTTCCAGAGATCATATAAATTCAACAGGCTGCCAAATTACACTACTGCGGCACACCACGCACCACCCCACGTGCCGCAGCAGTGTACTTTTCTCAGAGTGATCCTTGTTGCTTGCTTTTTGATATCCAGATGTGGTTCTCGACCCTCGAACGCGATCCCGGCTTACTCCTTTGGACTTTTACTGAGACTTCAAAGCTCCAAATAGCTCGAATTAGCTCCATAACATCTACATCACTCGGAATCACTCCTACAAGGTATAAAACATACAATAAGTACCAAATGCTAGAGATTAAAGCTCAAACACAATTAAAGTGCAGTGAATTAGAGTGCAATAAGAGACTAAAATACGAGATTATAGCCTACCATCAAACATCCAGCTGTTCTGCCTTGTTTCTTATGCCAAACAATCCCGAAACTCACTTTTGATGCCTCCAACGGATTCCTCGTGAAATTTTAATTAAGTTAGGCTTTTGAATCACTCCATTTGACCTTATAATGAAAGAGATATGTTGGTTTTAATATTTGAAAATAGTGGAGATTTTTAAATATAAATTTAGTGGCAATTTCATAATTAATCTGAAAACTCTGGCAACCCAATTTTTAGTAAAATGACCATAAATTCCTCATATGATGTCGAAACTTGATGATTTCAGTTGATATGGTTCCAAAATTACGATACGAGTATAATGGTTTAGTCGAAACACGAAACAAAGGTCATTCACTAAATATGGTAACATTTATGCTCAAATCGACGTCGAAACCGAAAACAATCACCACACAACCAAAACTTATCCAAAACTTATCGGAATTTAACCAAACTTTGTGGACATGTCCAAAATCATTATACAAACTTATTGGAATAATTAAAACCCGATTTCGAGTCCGTTTACCTAAAAGTCAAATCTTGGTCAACTCCTCCAACTTAAATTTTCTAAAACGAGAATCATTCTTTCAAGTCAATCCTAAACCGCTCGAAAATCGAAACCAACTTTACACGTAAGTCATAGAACATAATATGATGCTACTCACAGTCTAAAACCACCGAATGGAATGCTAAAGCTCAAAACGACCGGTCGGGTCGTTACATTCTCCCCCCACTTAAATATACGTTCGTCCTCGAACGTGTCAAGAGTTGTTCCAAAGCCATCATATTGCCATATACCCTCACCATACACATAACCATGGGTGATTCCACATCACCCCAATCCATATAAGCCTGACACCACCACCTAACGGAGGATCCTTTTTTCAACCTTAGTCCATAAACCTTAAAACCCAAATCCCCAACATTCGGAACTCATTATGTGACCCGATTCTTGAATCTATGCACTATATAATTATGAACAAGCGGTATCAATCCATAACCATATCTCAATACATAATCACATGATACACCACATAACTCAAATACTCATAGCAATAACTTCCAACCGCAATAGTTGCTCAATGACCAACCCGACAACGGTAACAAACCTCATATCAAGTAAAACCTTGTTCTAAACCTTCGTACACTGCGAATGATGAAAGGAACATACAGAAACGCATAACCACCCATTAGGTTAACAAGTCGTGGAGCTCTCTTGGTCGATAAGAACCATAGCCAAAATCTAAGTCGACTAGTGACACAATTCTTGCAAACATACCTTAATCAAATCCGATGGCACTCATTTCAGGCCTAATAACCTCACCTCATCCAGTACAAGCTACTCGACCGACCTGTCACACAAATCCTACTTAGAGCCACACACCATGCAATCCGTGCACCAACAAACAATAACTAAAATATATCCAATGATGGAAAGAGAATGGAAATGAAGAAACCATCCTGCCAGCTCAATAGATACCACCACGAAGCGCAATGCTATCAATCCACCACACAAGGGGAAACATAACACACGAAATAAGCACAAAGGATCATATCCTAGCATAACATCGCTGCGATGCA